TTGTGTTCCCCAACTGTTCTGGCAAAGGGGTTTTGTTTTACGTTTCTGGTTCTTCCCTCTCCTGTGTTTTGTTGGGTGCTCTGAGGCTCATCTGCAGCTCCATAGCAATGTCCCAAGCTATTGATATTTCAATAAATCACATGGGAGTGGCAGTCCAGGATCCCTGGAATAGGTATTTGCTGGAGAAGTGAAGAGGCTTTACTATACTCCCATCATAGATTTCCCCATCTGTTGTGTGGACCCTGTAGTGAATACCAGAAGGGAACTCTGGACACACCATTACAGGAAAACTTCTCTGGCTTTGATTTGAAATCCTTATCAAATACGTATCAGCCCAAATCCACTCAGCTGGCACCTCTCCAGAAGCTTCATGCCAGCAACCACCACGCCTGGCATGAGTGGGAATGGGAGGAGAAGCTGTGGCATCCCTGGGCAGGTGAAGGGAAAATAATTCAGGCAGGCAATGGAAAGGCTCACACCAGTTGTCCAAATGGATTATTATTTAACATTCCTTGTCCTCAGCAGGCAGCTGGATGGATGAGGTCCAGCTGAGAGGAGAGAGCCTTGGGTGTAGGAAAATCCAACTGACTTGACCTCTTAATGGGACTCTGCCCTCCCTTGGCATCCCAAGAAAATATCCCACCATGTCTGATTTCCTCCTGCCACAACCATGGAGAGTGATGCTCTTCTCAGGTACCAGGTTCTATCAGGAGATGTTGATTTAAGGAATTCCCAGCAAAATCTATGGGATGCTGAAGCTGAGCAACCCTGGCTGCACTGTGTCCAGGGAAAAGGGCTGGTTTAGTGTTTGCTGTGTAGGGGTAGACCAGAAGATTACTCCATGTAATTCCAGGCTGTGAAACCATTTTCCCCTGGAAGGGGGATGTGCAGAGGTGACACAGAGAGGTCTCTGTCCAGAATTAATCACTGTTGTGCAGAGCTCCTGCTTAGAAGCAAATCTCCCATTTGTTCTGGGAATGCACATCCTTGCTGGGGCTCCATCCTGGCTGGGAGCCCTCAGCTCACTCCAGCTCTCAGGCACACTTCTGGTGTTCCAAGAGCTGGGAAGTCCCTCCTATGCAAATTGTTCTGCAGTCCAGCTGGGTCAGTTTGTTTTTTCAAATATGAGAAAGTTTATTTTAGAGTTTTCTGGATACTCAGAGATACCATCAGCAATAAACAATGCTGAAGGAAGTAGAAGAGCAGTAAGCACAATAATTTATCTTCTATTTGGCTTCAGTTTATTTTAAAATCTGTAATTCCTAAAAGAAAGTGTTGGTAGTAAGGAAGAAAAGTAGTAGATTTCTTATCGTGGTGGTGTGGTGGTTTTTGGTTTCCTATTCTTTTCAAAAACCCCATTTCTTTAGTCAGGTTTCTTCCAAAATGACCAGTGAATGTGAGGAACCCACTAGGAGCCTTGATTATTTTGTTTTATTTTTATTTTCCTTCCTGTTCCCATGAAGTGCAGAACTTGGTGCCTTTTTAAATCCGATGCTCAGCCTCTGGAATCACGTGCACAACCCTCGTGCTCCCTTTCTGGTGCTGTTGATTTGCAGCGATGGTCTCTCTGGTCGGCAGATGATCAGCTGGGTGGTTGAATTTAGCTCAGGTCTAAAAATACAAGGCAAACTGGGATGCCCTTCACATTCCTGGGATTCCTCACTTGTCATGGCAAAACCACCAGAATTTTCCCACTAACCCTTTGCAGGTCTCGTGCAGAGAAATTCTGTCTGTGCAGCACCTGCATTACACACCTTTATATTCCTGTTTATATTCCTGGCATTTTATTGTCAGTGGGATGTTTATATTTAGCTTTTATGGTAATTTTGTGTGCTGAAAGCAGTTTTCTAGGAGGAAATTGCATTGAGAAATGGGCGAAGAGGTAATAATAATAGTAATAATCTGTTGTTAAATCCCACAGCCCTCCGTCTTCTGGAAGCAAAACACTCAGATAAGAGTATAGTTTTCCAAACAGCCTGTTCAAATGACTTGGAGAGGGACTTTTGACAAGGGCATGTAGTGACAGGACAAGAGGGAATGGCTTTAAACTGGCAGAGGGCAGGGTTAGATTAGATACTAGGAAGAAGTTTTTCCCTGTGAGGGTGGGGAGGCCCTGGCACAGGTTGCCCAGAGAAGCTGTGGCTGCCCCATCCCTGGAAGTGTCCAAGGCCAGGTTGGACAGGGCTTGGAACAACCTGGGCTAGTGGAAGGTGTCCCTGCTCATCCCTTCCAGGATGCAACAGCCTCAGTTCTACTGTATTTTCAGTTTTAAGCAGCCAAAGATCTGAGCTTATGAAATAATCAGCATAAATCTGAAAGGAACCGATAACCCACAGCAAGAAATCTTTTTTGGTTGTACCATCTGCCTTGGGGAAACAAGGAGTCTGCATTTCCAGGCTGCCATGAGAGAAAGGGGAGGTATAAATAACCAGGGAATTATATTTCCACTTCGTGTCATAGAATCACAGAATTATTTGGGTTGGAAGGGACCTTAAAGTTCATCTCATTCCACCCCCCTACCACAGGCTGTGACACCTTCCAGGTTGCTCCAAGCCCTGTCCGACCTGGCCTTGGACACTTCCAGGGATGAGGCAGCCACAGCTTCTCACCACCTGGAATATCTGTATTAGTTGTATTAGTATGTCCTGGTACTCCAGAAGCAAGGGAAATCCTCAGATGAGATCAGGGACCCTGGTGCCAGCTGCTGTGTGGGTGTGGAACAGCCTGGATCACCCTTGGCCCTGATCGAACACGAGAGCTGGGAGTGGCAGAAATTATTCCTGGGTTTGTCTGCAAAGAAGAAGCTGCTTTATAGGGAAAATGAGACACAGTTTAACAAACACTTAAGGATTGACTTACTTTTAAGAATGTTGTTTAATCCTGTTGAAATTGAGAGGATTACTTACCCTTAAATGAATCCTTAAGCACTCCCCGGGCTGGCAGGCTGGAGCATGGGATCTGTGAGGAGCTGGGCTTGCACTTGGCTTTTCTTGCTCTTGGCTACTGCCTTAGCAGGAGTTGTTGTTGGGAAAATACTCCCTTATGTTGGGACAGTCACTGTCTTTCAGAGATGCCAAGCTTCAGGGATGCTCTTTGTACCTGATCCCTCAAAGTGGGTCACTTTGCTTACGTGCCTGAGCATCGATTTGGGAGCCTCGGTGTCAGCAAGTGTGTCTGTGCATCCTGGCTCCTCACTGGAACCAGGTCCTGGGCTTTGATGTGCCAGGATGTTCAGAGCTTGGGGCTGTTCATAAAAGAACAAAGGAAAACTTGTTGGCGAGGAGAACACTGAGCTTCTCTCTTAAATTTCCCTGGAAGTCAAACCCTGCGGTATAACTGTCTGATTCATAAACTGATTTTTTACTTCAGAGATCTAATAATAGGTTGCAGAAGAGACTCATTAAATCAGTCTGGGACTTCCCTTGGAGTATTTTAAGCCCTGTGGAGCGTGGCTGTGGGTGCCAGAGGGATCTCTAGTCATTGTCCCCTGTCTGGTCTTGGTGTTTGCAGGTACCACGTGCTGGCAGTTCTGTGCCATGGCTCTGCCCTGACGAGCCCTGGAGCCTTTCAGAGATGTTCTGTTCCCTGTTCTCCATGTGAAAATCACCTGCTTAACACCAAACTGTGGCAGCTCCTTGGTTGCTGCCCTGGCTCAGGGTCCACATGTGGAGCAGCCAGACTGGAATTCATGGCAGTGGTAAAAGAAATGAAAAATTAAAGGGGTGGAGGTTGCGAACGTGTGGAGAAGATAGAGTTTGGAGAAGGATCTGCTGCAGCAGGATGAACTCAGGCTCCTCAGTCCCAGGGAGCCTGGTGTGCTCTTCACAAACCTGGTGCTTGCATGGCTTTTCCAGCAGAGAGGATTTGCATGAGGGCGTGTGATAAGACAGTGATTGATGCTCTGGGATAATAATGTGGGAGGGAGAGAGGCTTCGAGTACCACCAGCATCCCAGGAGAGAATCCAGTGCTCCCCAGGTGACTAGTGTGGAGATGACTTAGCAAAGCAGGGGAGCATCCCCTCAGCAGGATGGGGGGACACAGTCCCTAAATAAAGCATCCCTGAGGGGACCTCACTGCTGGGTTGGGTTCAGGGCAGCTCCAGTCAGCAACAGCCCCCACAATGTTTGGGTTTGTACACCTGGAGGAGAGGTGGGAGCTGGGGGTCCTTGAGCAGGGACCGCTCAAGAAGCCCTTTATCTGTGTCCCAGGCACAGGCATCTCTATTCATCCCAATTTTGGAAACCAGTCCAAAAATAATAGGTTTGTTTTTTCAATCTAGCTTTGAAATGATGGATATGAGCAAGAGTAAAACATGGTTTATATTTACAAGGGACTAAACCCGTTCGTTGTTCCTCTTCATTGAAAATTCTTCACAGCGATTAAAACTTCCATCAAAAATGGGAGTTTTCAGAAAAAGCTGGTGGTTTTACTGCTCCTTATTGCAATGCTGATGAAAATATTTCCTTGTTGAATCACTTCTGGCTGTTTTCTGCCAGAAAAGGGCGACGGTCTGCACTCACCTCTGACAAACCGATGATGCATCTTTATTGAATTGCAAGAAGTCAAAACCATTCAGTCTTGGCAAGTCTGCCTCAATAAGATCATCTTTGTGTGGGGAGAGACATGAAAGGAGTTATAATCCTTTTGTGATAAAATACAAAGTAAGAGGGTTTTTTCAGTGGTCCTCAGTGTTGCATAAAACCTATCAGGGCAGGTTTGGACATATTAAATGAGTGTGGGATGCAGTTTCCTCGGATGATGCTCTTGAATGATTATAGCTGAGGGTTAAATGTCTTTTGTGCTCAGTGGTAGAACCAAAAGCAGTGTTTGCACTGACAGTGTCCTCCCAGCCCTGATGGTGACACTGGGACACTCATGGGGGGACTGGAGCACATCCATTTCAGTGGCCCATGTCCAAACACCAGGCTGTGTGTGAGTCCTCACCAAACCTTCCTCTGTCCTCAGTAAGCACACCAGCATCTTTTTCTCTCATTTCCAGGTGATCTCTGCAGTATCCAGGCTCTCCTTCCACAGTATTGCTCAAACCAAAGGAATTAGGTAAGATCCTTTCAATATGATGCTATTCCTAGTATTTAATCACATCAGACTCTTTAGAAGCTACACTTAGTAGGGTTAAACAGACATCAAGGGTGCCTTTGGGATGAAGGCTGGGTACTTGTAAAAGCAGCTTACGGGCTGCTTGGGAATAGTTTCAGATAAAATAAGTGAAAATGTGATGAATTGTGTACACTATTCTTCCTGGGGAGGGCAGCAGGGGCGGGTTTAATGTCTCTTGGGGGTTTTGCTCAGGTTCACTGTGCAGCTGAGGGATCCCAGGAAAGCCAGCAGTGCCCATGAGCTGTGGTATCACCCCTTGTCCCCACTGTCACCTGCTCCTGTGCAGAAGAGCTCAGGTGGCTTTTCTGTCCCTAACAGCTGGAAAATTCCCTCTGAGTTTGTCAGAGACAACATTGCTGAGGGGGTGAGGGGGGTATGGGTCCCCTGCCCTGACACCCGGGGTGGGCTGGCTGCTCCTCCTCTGCTCATTGAAGGAGCAATGGAGAAGGAATTAAAAGGAGCAGACAGGCCTATTAAGCAGAGCTGTTATCCTGCTCTTTGTTCAGCTTCTTGCAAAATTGGTTTGCAATTGGTTTTCTTGTTAGTGTGCATTTGTATTATTAATCTGGCAACATCTCATTAGGACACAGCTATAACTGGGATGAGTTCTCAGCCTAAAGTACCTTCTCTCCTTTTCTGTAGGGGAATGTGTGTGTGTTTTCATCCCCAGCTATAGAACACATTTGCTTTTCTCCACAGCATGTGTCTTGCTGCTATTCTGGTTGGGGGTAGCATGGCACAGTCTGCAGGGCCAGGCACAGCCAGGATGCAGGGAATGCAGCCTGGATGGGGTCCCTGCTTCACTGCCAGCCCTGCCACCCATGCCCACCACCCCCTGCCATGATTTCCACTGTTAGAACATATTTTCCCTGCCTTAGCTGCACTGATATTGCTGGAGGGGGAACAGCTTTTCACGTGTAAAACCAACTCTGTGCTTTCCCATCTGCTGAACACAAACCCGACAGATCCCAGCAGGACAGGGGGGGAGATTCAGGGGGCGAGGCTTTGAGGAATAAAGATGTGCTGTAAGTTAAGGACTACATTCCCTGAGTCCTGGAGAAGCCTGCAGTGATTATTGTTTTGAGGGAAAAGAACATCCAAGGCGCTTGGAGGCAGGGAGCAATGGGGAACCCACGTGCACAAGCTGCTGTGCCTTGGCAAGGGCTGGGTTTAAGTCCTGGGGCATCACTGGAAGGGGTTGCAGGGTATAATCCCTGGAAAAGCCTTTCCCTAAAAAGGGAGGGAGGTCCTGGAGTTGCCTCAGAGGATGAATGAGCTGTGTTCCGTGGGAAGGCTTTGGCTGAGTCCCTGTTGGTTCTGTTGAGGGCTGGGCAATAGCTGGGATCCAGGGACAAGGGAGGCTTCGCTATTCTGGTGGATATGTGGCTTCTTCTCAGGCATTTTACAACCAGCAGTTACAGTTCCCACCAAAATCCTTTATCTTGGAAGCCTTTGGCACCATAATTACACAAGAATAGCACAGAGCTTAGCGAGCCTCTGCTTCTAACTCTGTTTTCCTGCATATTAACCCTGCTTCTCCTCCCCATTGCCAGCTCTGCAGGAACAGAAAATGCTGTCACTCCATTAGCTGGAAAATAGACTAGACTAGACTAGAATTGAATTCTGTAATTCTACAAAAATACCCTTGTGGGGTGTCCCCTCCCACCTCGCTGTCCCCTGTGGTCAGAGAGCCCTCGCTTTGTCCGTCATTACATGTTTTTTCTTTTAAATTAGATGATTTCTTGCTACACCATCACAAAACCCTCAGTGATAGAAACTAATCTCAGATGAATTAATCTAATCTTCTGGGAACCAGCAGCAGCTCTGGCTCCCTGAAGGGGCTGCTCACATCAGCCGCTGCTGCCCCTCAGCTCATTGGGGTCCCCACTGATATTTGGGGTCTGTACTCTTCCCTCTCCCAGTGAAGATGCTGCCATTGAAATAAATAAGAAAAGTCTTGTTGGCTTAGACACTGTGCTCAAAAACATGGTAAATACAGTGAAATTAGGCTGGTGTGTGGATTGTATGGTCGTCAGTCTCATAGCATGAATGTGGCTCTGCTCCAGCCCCTATTTTAGGGTCTAACAGTCAGGATCACGCAAAATGAGAGTGAAAGAAATCCTAAAGCCTATTACTTGTCCTTAAATAAGTTTCATGGCATGTAGAAAAATAAAAATCAATCTTGTATGCTACTCAGTGAAACAAAATTAGTCTTTCTGCCTTAATAATTTCTAGCTACATGAACCTTGCCAGAAAAATCCTGTTTCATGGAGTATACCAGATAGCTATCAGGATAGCTCTGTTGAGATGACAGAGTGTTTCTTCCAAGAAACAAGCTACAAGCAGCAAAACATGGCAAAAAAAGATGTTGAATGCAATGTTTTTTTTGCAGTGCCCTGTTAAGGCTGTGCTTAATCCACAGCAGCTGTAGCTACAGCCCCTGCCCTGTCCCCATCCCAGGGGCTGCTTCCACCCTCCAGCATCACCCTCCAGCATGGGGCATCCCTGACTCACCTCCTGGCAGGGGATGGGCTCAAATGATGCAAAACCAGATTTTGCAAACAGCCCAGATGATGTTTCCTCACTGGTTAAAGAAGTGTTTCGTTGCAAGGACCCCACCACTGCGCTGGGGGATTTTTTGGGGTGGTGCCCATGACATCCTCTTGATGATAAGAGGCTCATTGGTGCCTCCCTAGGAAAAGGCACATTTTCTCTCTTTAATTTAAGGTGTTCATATTCAGATGAAAGATGGTTTTATGGATAAAGACATGCACTGAAGGGAAAGCAGATGCATGGAACTACATTTGGATGCTGGCTCTGCTCTGGGTGCTGTACAACTCCCTGGGCAACTCCCTTAGTTTCTGATGTTTGATTTTTTTCCCCTCTCAGAAATGGGGAGGTGAGAAATGTCTTTGTTCACCTGGCTAATGGGACTGACTCCTTCCTGCTCATCAGGGCACAGGCAGCCCTCTCGATCTCATTTGGGAGCACAGGCTCTGTGGTAAAGGGATAGGAACTTTTTCCTGGGATTTTCATCCCTCTGTTGTCTTACAGGGCTGTACCTGGGGACAAAGAACAGATCCTCATGTAGCATTGCCCATCAACTAGGGAGAGGAGATTTTTTAACTTATTATTGTTTCACATCCTTTCCTCCATTTATCTGGAGGACTGTCAGCAGTTTCAGGGAGAAGTTACCACTGTGCCCATCCGTGGCTGTCCCTGAACAAGGAGCCTTTGTTTTACAGCCAGGATTTTCCACTGCAGACCCGACTCGCACCCATTAATTCCATTACCCCATTCCCACAGTGACTGGCACTAAGTGCTTCCAAGCCAGCCTGGAGGATTTTGTAGCAGCATGGTTGTACAGGGATGTTGTGTGAAGCTTCTCCTGTGCTTTGGAGCATGAGTTCTCATTCCCTTTCCAAGTTTTCTCAAGCAAAGTCAGCTCTCTGGAGGACAACAAGACTTCTTGTTGCAGGTCCCAATAAACCAGGATTATTCATATTTTCTTAGAGCTTTTTTTTTTCTCTTAAGACTTTCCTGCCACAGCCATGACCGTTCTCCTTTGCCTGTGGCACATCCTGATGTCCTCTGGGCTCTGACCATCATCCACCTGGTGCTGGCAGGCTCCAGGGGCTGAATGTGAGCTCTGAGCAGAGGGGACATGTGTTTATTCATCTCCCTGAGATATATGTTTTTTCTGGAAGCTGAGTTTTGCAAGCAAAGCAGGAGGTTAAGGAATATTGGCTCATGCTGCCTGCATGCATTTTTAATGTGTGCACAGTGAGGCCAGCTGAGAATGGGAAGGAGTTTCCATGTTCAAAGGCCTTTATGGAGGCCCTTAATCTAAGTAAATCCTTTATATATGAACTGAACCTCTCAGTGACTCTCTTCAGAGGGCACTACAGTTAATAAAATAGATTTAAAAACATTTGCAAATGAGGGGGAGGAGGGTGAATCCTGATTGCCAGAGGAGGCTTTCTCTCGTGGGAGTGGTGGCAGTGCTTTGGCCGGGCTGTGGAGGGAGGGAGACTGGGATGATTGTGTTTTCCCCATCCTGGGGGCCAAGGCAGGACCTCTTTGGGAAGAATAAGTGATCAGTTGAGATCCAGTGCTGAGTGGGTGTCAGGCCCAGGTTGCCCATGGGCACCCTGTTGAATGGCCTTCACGGCCATCCTGTGTCCGGTTTTTTGGAACAGGTTGCCCAGAGAAGCTGTGGATGCTCCATCCCTGGGAGTGAAGTGTTGAAGACCAGGCTGGATGGGGCTCTGAGCAACCTGGTCTAGTGGACAATGTCCCTGCCCGTGGCAGGGGGTTTGGAATGAGATGATCTTTAAGGTCCCTTCAAAGCCAAACCATTCCATGGTCGTATGATTTTGCCCCTCTCTAAGTGCAGACAGTGTGATGAGGGAAATGAAGCTCAGCACTGGGATTAGCTCAGGTCGGTGCTGCCTCCAGGCACATTCAAGGCAACTAAATGGGCTGTACCAGCATCCTCCCACCAGTGAGGATTTAATCCAGAGGAGATTTCCCTACCACCCTGCTTTTCCCTGCCTTGCTGACAGGGCTCATCATTGCTCCCTTTTGCGCAGGTAAAACCATTAAAAAAGACTGACATGCCCAAAATGAGGTTTGCAGCGTTATCAGCCCTGGAGTTTCTGTACTTAACAGCTTGCCAATAATATCAGGATGTGTGTGGGGGTGAAAGGGAGGAGGGATGGGAAGGGAGAGTCAGAGCAGCATTCCTGGCATGTGGTGCCCAGCCTGCAGGAGAGGGGCAGGGGGCCACATGGAGCTGGTCCTGCATGGGCAGCCTCCAGCCCTGCTCTGCTAAATGTGCATGTCTCTGCTCCCAGTGTTTTAACCTGGAAACTCCTCAGTGCTTCAGCCACTGGTGTGGAATTAAACCTGGAGTTTTGTCCAGGTTACATAGCCTTAAT